GATGAGACATTAATGGATATTGACTCTGGATCAAAGGTATAGTTTATTGTGTTATTTGATTCACTTCTCCTTTCCATTATATACTACTATAAGTACTAATAACACACACTCACTCATCTCTTTATTACTTTGTGTATCTACTAGTTGATAGTAAGACTGGGTAGAGCAGGAAGACGAGAGAAAAGAATTAAATTATATTTATTACAAGTTAATAATATAGAGGTAAGAATTAATTAACATTAATGGGCAAAGCCCTTACTGCATGGTAAAGTAGTTTTGTTTGTTTGTCTGTACACGTACATCTGGGCACGGCAAGGGGGCGGAGCCTGTTAATGTTTCTTGTATTTATTTTTAGTTTTGTAAGTTTATGATGGAGTTAATTGTTGCTATGGATACACCAGTGAGAGACTTTAAGAAACAAATTATTGAAGAAGCAAAAGAACAAGGAATTGACTGTGTCCTTGAATTAGACAAGTAAGTACATCATGTGACTATCATGTGACTATCATGTGACTTATTGTGTAGAATGAGATTACGTGACAAGAATGGAGTGTCCCCTGGTACAGTATATCCTGATCATGAGAGGATTGTTGATGCCAGGACTGATGATGCTAGGTTTCATCTTGCTAGGATTTATGATATTGGTAGTACTACACGTAGGATTGATGATACTTATAATAAGGAAATACATGTATACGTGGAACCATTGAAAGGTCAGTATATTTCAGTATTTTCAGTTTAAATAAATGATATATATATATATTTTTTTTTATTAGGACCAGAGAAGAAGAAGGACATAGTAGAGAGACAGGTGTATGTTATAAGATGGCGTCCATCACAATGTTCAGTTGATCCAATAAAAGAAATAATACTGGATAATTATTATGATCATGAGCATGTTATTGAAAAGGTATACATGTTGATTAATAAAATTCATAATTCATTGTATTATTGCTTGTGCTGGTGGTGTGTAGCAGCAGTTCACTTGCTCTACCAATAAAGTTATTACAGAAATAATTTTAAAATAATGTTATATGCCAGACTGATAGCGATTATTCCATAATACAGCTGTATGCAAAAATTTAGGAAATTTAGAATTTTAAACAATTGGTTTTATAAAAGTTTTTGTAGTTTATACAGTGAAGCCCTTTGATCCTAAGGTCAAGGTTGTAGCGAGCAAAGGTCACCCCCTTTATGTTTACCCCTGCCGTAGCTGATGTTAATTTTGAGAATGTGATGTTTTTATAGTTAATTGCCGCCAAAAAACCTATTATTTGCACCATTATGTGCATC